TTTATATACATTTTGTATATATTAACCTATATTATTATCGTAGTAAAATCTTTATGTTAAGAAAAGAAGAAAGAAGGAAGAGAAAAACTTAAGAAAGAAAATTAAAATGAAAACGAATGGAACAAATTTAGAAAATATATTGGCTTCGGCAGAAAATAAAATTAAGAAGATGAAGAAAAAAAAGGAAAGCTAATAGATAAAGAGAAAAAAAAAAATGCATAATTTTTGTACAAAGAATTATTGACTTTCCATTCAAATTGTTTATGTTTAGAGATTAATAATTAATATTCCTATTTTAATGGAACTGTGTGTTACAAATATAAATATTTTTCTGCCATAACTGTAATATTGAATTTAATACTACAAATATATTATATTTTTTTTAAATTGTGACAGTTATGTAAAATTCCATCGTTAAAATGCATGATTTTAAGCCCTTTTAACCCTGCATGTTGCTCAATCAGATGAGATTGATACCCATTTGCCACATAATTTTTATTATTACAAAAAAATTATTTTTTCGACAGAAACTATTTTTAAAAAGGAAACTGCAATTCACTCCATTTTCTCTTTCCTCCTCCCTCTTCATCTTTTTCATTTCTTTCTCTTCCCCATCGCCGCCGCCCTCCAGCCTCCACCAATTAATGGTTTCTCTTTCAAGAATCGGTGGGTTTAGCTTGAGAATTACTAAAACTCAAGCAATTTATGATTTGGACACAAGAGACTCGATTTTAAGGCTCAAAGCAATTGATATTTAAGGCTTCATTTTTTACTCAAAGGAGCTGGGTGAAACTAAGTTTGAACATTGGATATGGTGTAATTTTCAAAAATTGTTGAATATTCATAGATTGCCAAAACGAAGTTCCAGATGCTAAAAGCGTACAGATTGGAACAGTTTTACTTTTGCATTTTGGTTTAATTAATGGAAAACATGCATGTATATTTGGATATGGTTTTGGGAGAAACAGTTGTGATTGAATTGCGGTATTTAGTTTTATGAAAGAACAAACTTTTTTTTTACAACAGAATATCGGTGTTTTTAGATCTAAGCTTTATCCTTTATTTACTTTTGAGAGAGGGGGGCGGACGATGAGGAGGAGAACGACAGGGATTGAGTAACTGGAGTTTTTCATTTTTGGGTTTTGTCTAATTTTCTTTTCTTACTATTTGTCTCGTCTTTTTCTTTTATTTTAAAACATTCTTTCTTATTTAATTATTTTTTGTTTTAATATTCATACTCACGCTTGTTATACACGTGAAACACACATATTTTGTCCTCCTCAGCCATCAAGTTGCCACATATGTTCAGTCAACTGTCAGAGGAATTTAAAGTAGTATATTTTGATAACTATAAGTGTTTGGATGAAACTTTGTGGATTACAAGGACCGAAATGACAAACTGAAACAAATACAAGAGTCTACGAGACTATTCGGCCAATTTAATTTGATTAGATTTTTGTCTAAGATCCCACACATAAAGAAGCTTAGTTGTATTGAAATTTTATATTTTAGTCTAATATGTAGGCATGCATGCTGAAAGCTAGATGCCTAGGTTTTTTGTCATTAGAAAAGTATATTATAACGTAAAAAATAACCAAAAGCTACTTGAGAAGTCTAAGTCATTCCCCATTAGTCATTACCTTTTAGTTATAGGGAAAATGTCCAAATTTATCCCTCTACTTTCGAATATTCTTTACATTTAACCTTTGTTATACTATTCAGTCAAATTTATCCTTATCGTTATATTATCCAGCCAAATTTACCCCTATCATCAACAAACTTTTAAAAGTTACCCCTCAATCCGTCAGGTGACCCAGAATCTTCCAAATTATTTTAATTAAGTCACTCATTCTTCTTCTTGATTCACTATTTTCGAAATAGTTGGCATTTACCTGCGTCCTTAATTAAAAAAAATAAGAAAAAGAAATATTAAAATAATACAACGGTTAGTAAACAAAATATAGTAAATTGAAGAATCGAAATTAAGTAGCTTATCTAAATTTTAAAAGTATTTACAACACCCTATCTTTAATGAATTTGCTGCACCAAAAGTATGGAGACTTTACAAATATTAGTGATAGAAGTTGAAGTTCTTTGGAGAATTTACATTATCGAATTCAACTTTGCTTTAATCAAATGCCTATGGATTGTGCACTCTTAAGCTAGTCGATCGAACTCTATACTAACTAGACAATAACAAAATATATTCAAATATGCATGTATATACATGATGAGCAGCTGCATATAATACACAATAAATAGACCAACTGAATTCTACAGTGTGTATATAGTTGAAAAATAAATAAAATTTTAAACCAATTCCAAACCCATTATCACAAGAAGAGAAGTGGGTGCAATGGTAATCAAAAAATATCCATAAATAATTTGTATAGTCTAGTACATATAGCATTCAATAGTAATTTCTGAAAATAGTGGAGCAAGAAGAATAACAAGCAATTTAAATTAAAAAAAAAATTGGGAGATTTTGGATAACCTAACAGATCAAGGGTTAATTTTTAAAAATTTGGTGATGATAGGGGTAAATTTGGCTGGATAATATAACGATAGGGATAAATTTGACATGATAGTATAACGAATATTAAATTTAGATAATATCCGAAAGTTGAGGAGTATATTTTGCCCTTTTCCCTTAGTTATAAGATATTACGGTTCATATAATAAAAATAAAAGATGAATCTTTTTTCTTCTTATTGTAATCTTTTCTTTTACTTTCAAACACACAAGAAAAAATTATTGTTCAGTTTATCTCCGAAATCTCCTAAAAATGTGTCTTACCTATATGTTCTTGACATGCAGAGAAACCATAAAATTCCATAAAATCACAATCCTAATTTAGATGATCTCAAATTTTGGGAAAATGACATTATATAACCGCTCTCAAAATAATAGCCGAATATATATATATATATATATATATATACACACACACACACACATTATGTATGTTATATATAAAAATTATAAAAAATTTATATACTTTTTTGGCTACCTAATTAATATAAATAGTTTCTGACGGGGGCTAAAAATAATAATACCCCTAAATTCTTTATAGAGAAAATGGCATGGTATGACAACCCATAAAGAGAATTGACACTTTTTTAGCCTTGTATTAAATTCGGCAAAGGCAGCCTAAAAGAATTGCCATTATATAGCCAAATCCTAAAATCCCCCGTATTTCTTCTTCAATGTTTTTATCTTTTCTTTCCCCGTATTTCAATAATTTTTACTTGGACCCTTTAATATTGCGTGTGAGAATTACTTTTGATAGAATTTTAAGGTCTTGAAGTAAAAGAAAAAAAATAGAATTATAAAGTTTCCTTGTAGAACTTGGTCTGCGCCTCAAACGAAGTTAGGGTAAGGATTTTTGATTTTTTTTTTTGTGTTGTTTCAATTCCAATGATATGGCCGAAGTATGCCGCATGTCACAAAAGTTTCTCGCACTAATTATTATGAGAATCCAATATTGCGATTGCCGGATCATATTTTTCATTCGATATTTACATATCTTATATGTAAATTCTCGTACTAATGAATTTCGCCGTTCTTCTCTTTCTTTTTTCAAGCGGCATATTCCAATTTTCTTCTTCTTCCTTTTTTTTTCTTTTTTTCTTATTGTAAGATAAAAATATGTGTGTTTGAGGTGGTGTACATCTACGTCTATCACCATATATACCTGTGTGTATATCATGTTGTATATCGTAATATACATTGTTAGATTTGGCAATATATTAAATCGGAATCAAATCGTCCAGTTTAATTTTAAGAGGGAGAAATTTATTTTGAATAAACTTATTTCAATTTTGTTCTTGTCAAATAATTTTTTTCCCCGATATAATAGGTTTAGAGAAAGTTCTAAAATATAAACAATAAATATAATTGTAGGAATAAATAAATTTTATATAAATTTTAATATATAAAAAAGGAAAATAATTTTTTGATATACAGTTTGATATACACAAAGAAGAAACATAAATTTGTGATGTCCATTTTGGTATACACATATTTGATGTGTCATATACTGTGATATACAAGCAATGCATTTATTTTTGTTGTGATATAGATTGATATAGAGATAACAATAAATTTTAAACAACTATATTTATCATTTTATATTTTAGATATACAAAGAAAAAAAATTAATATATATTTCGATATACACAAAGAAGAAAAATATTGTGATATACACATTCTTTTTGTGATATATATTTATTGGCTATCTGGTGCCAATATTTATAACTAGGATTTGTTTCTACCAATTATGTAGGTAAGTTGTCACACCATGCCAAAATCCCTTATTTTTAAGGAAGCACTATTTCAGGTTAGCGTATTTAACGAGCTTTCAGCAGACTTAGGCCCATGTTTTCAGGCCTCTATCAGCAGCTTTAGGCCCACTGGATATTTAATTCGAATATTATCCCAGTATGACAAATAAATATGCATTTAATTCTCTCCGGAAGAACCTCCACGAAAAGTTATTTTGACAAAAGTAATTCCAAAATTTGAGCCGTTTTTAAAAGTTTGGCCAAGCAGACTTGATACGTTGCCACCAGAAAAGATAGACGTTTCACTACATAATAGCTAAACCGTTAAATACCATAAAAATGATTTAATTATGTAAATATTCTTTATATTATAATTAATAAGAGGTAATAAGAGGTAGTATAGACTTAAATTGTTTCTAAACCTCCCGTAATTTGGTTTCTTTAATTTTCTCTCTTTCTTTCCTCTTTCACTCTTTTTGTCCGTTCAGTTTTTATTTAAAAAATGTTATACATTAGGCAAATTGAACTTCCAGATGCTTCTTCACAAACTTGCAACATACTTAATCAACTAACCAACACTTACAATTTACTACATCTAATTAATTAACACAAACCCATCATTAGGCTGCTAGATAGAAAGAGAGAAAACAACATACCATACTACCACACACTACGTATTCTAATTAAACTTAGGCAACATAATTAACTAATTACTAATTAATAGTACATAAAAGCATCACCAGAAATATTAGTTTCTTCTCCTTGGAATTGATCTCCATCTGAAAATGCATAACCTGGAAGCTGCAGCTGGTCCAAGTTATAATTTATTTGTGCATTCTCAACAGGAGTTGAGTTATTCTCATGAGGATAATAATTAGCAAAATTAGAGTCATGAGCCATTAGCAACTGATGATGATAATTTGGATTATCATAATCATCTACAATATTAATCATGGTTTGATGCAGCCATATTTGCATCTTGAGAAATTTGACATAGTGAATTGCTTCTTCTAACATTGTAACTGTGTCCATTTTAGAACCACCAGGGACTAAACTCTGCAAAATCTTGAAACGATCACTGATTCTATGCCTTCTTTCACGAGCTGCTACACTTTGTGGATCAGTTGATAGTTTCACAACTGATCCTTTTTTCTTCTTTTCTTTGTCATTAATTTTGCTTGAAGAAGAAAAACAAGTGGAATGTTGTTGATCCATTGCTATAGCTAATTACCTCTATCTTCTCTTCTTCTTTATTTTTTTTAATATAATATCTTTATGAAGTTTGAGAAGAGGAGATTGTCCATGCATGGTTTATATAGAGGAAGAAGATTGCGTTAGGTACGTGGGACAATATAGAAATGTGGTCATCTGATTTGAGTCAGCCAATCTTTAGGGCAAGATTACGATCGAGTTTCTTGGGGGTAAATACCCCTCCAATTGTAGGGTCAATAGGGCAACAAAAGAGGTCTGCCATTGAAAATTACCTAATATTACTGACAGTACGTAAAAGTATTTCTGTATACGCAAGGATTGTTGGATGTTTTGCCTCATCTCCTGATTTTTTTCTTTGTATATATAATATGGCTTAATATTTTACACCATCAGGTAATTCAGAAATTATTTACAAGTAATTCTCTTTAAAACTGAAATTTATAATTTTGAAAATAAATTAAATAAGTTGTTTGTTAGAACAAACAATGATAATTTGATTGTGTAAAAGATCTCTATAGGCGATGGATACTAGTTAAGCTCTACCAATTAATGCATATATCTTTTTTACTCTCCTGATATAAATAGTTTTTGTATTCTTAATACATAAACTTAAAGTACTATTGCCAAAAATATTATTTCCACCTAGTTAGATGCAATATTTTAATTAACTTAACATGCAAAGTTATCTTTTTGTCAATTTCGACATATACAGATATACAAAAATGTGTCGATCAGTAATTAGATAATATTCCCATGTACCTAAAATGGAGAAAGGGAAAAAAAAAAAAGAGAATTGAAACTGAGTACTCCATTATTAAACTGAGATTAGGTTAAATGAATAGTTTAAGTGTCCTTTCATACTACTACTGGAAGGGACATGAGAAAACACTGAATTCTAAGCTGCTACATATGAAAGTGCTACTGCCTAACTAGGGGCCAAATCCAAAAAATTACTGTTCACATTGCATTTTATATTTTTCTTATCGATGGTATTTAAATTTTACCAGAAATTAATATTCACTTGACATATGAAAAGCTTAATCTATCCTCTTCATACAGAGAACTTCACTTTATAACTCATTAGCAGAGTGTTGTCAAATAATTGTGAAAAGTCGAAAACGAAAGTGTCCATATCAAATGGAGTGCAAATTAAAGGAGCACTTTAACCGACAATGAATTTTTAGCACGAATCCAAATTAGATAGACCAAAATTGATACTTATACTGAATGAGAAACCAAAAGAAAAAGGAAGAGGCAAGGATACCGGGAGATTGGTTTTTAAGACTCATTTGAAATGTTTTTGAGCTATATATGACACTTTCTATAAGAATCGGTAAAAAAATAAGACAGGAGATTTATATATAAACTTTATTACTATAAGATTATTTTCTTTTATTGAAATTGTAATCGATTATAGAACATCATTTCTGTATACGGTCAAAACCGAGTTTGCCCTTCGTATGATTAATCGAGATTGGAATATGATAGACCAAGGTATGGCCTCGTGTAGAATCGAGCCATAATGCAAAGTTAGGTTACCGAGCTCGTGATCCAGAGACCGATCAAGATCGATATCGGCCAAGATTGAGATCGAGCAAGATCGAGACCGGTCACGATCGAGATCGGCCAAGATCGAGATCGAGATCGAGCAAGTTAGAGACCGATCAAGATCGAGGTCAGCCAAAATTGAGGAGAGCTTATCGAGCCAAAAAATAGAAAACCGGAATATCCGCAATTGGGCGAAAATCTGAACGGAAATCCCGGCGCATATCAAGAAGAGGCCAATTAATTAATCTATCATGGGATTCCTTACGGTATTTAGAAATTATATTAAGAATAGGACTTCCCTACTATATAAAGGGGGTCTGATTATTTGTAAGGGAGGAGATTCAGATTCATAGAATATAAAGCAATATACTGCCTTTTTCTGGTTTCGATATTCAATCATTTTGTTCTTGTATCAGTCTACTCTCCATTCAGTTTGAGGGTGATCAAACTTGAGGGCCTAGGCTAATTAATTCATTCGGTTTGCATTCATTTTTTTTACAGTTAATTTCGATATTCATTTATATATTTTCTCAATTTGTACCAAGTTATACTACGTATCCTTAGAACCGCTTATAAATTCAATTGTTATCCATTTTTTGGGTTAACAGTTTGGCGCCCACTGTGGGGCTAAGGATAATAGTGGTTATTTGATACAAATCTCTATAAAACACCATATTTTGCACTTGCTCTTGGAAGTATCTTTGATTTCAGGCTAAAGATGACGAACTCTCAATTACTCCCCGTGCATATCGATAATGAATTTGGCCATCAAGGTGAGAATAACAACGTGACGCCCAGGGATGAAAGGCCACCTGCTGACCCCGTTGGGACTCAAGCCGTGGATCCGATTGACGTTAATTCGCATGTGGCCATCGAAGCGAACCAACATTCCGGTCCCGAAAATAGCATACATGGTGGAACTCGATCTGCAGTTAGAAATATCCAAAATATTGGAGAAGACGGGATCAACTTGCGTATGATATTTGAAATGCTACAAGCTCAACAGGTGGCGATAGCTCAGTTACAAAGCCATACCCAGGCGCCGAGCAGGGTTGAGCCCGATCCACCCCAATAAGTCACCCACAGAACGGGGCCAGTTGTGGTAAGGTTAAATGTACAAGAATCGGGGACTAACCCCGAAATTATAAAGATGCTCGAGGAAATGACAAAATGGATAGAGTCAGGGGAAAGGAGGATCGAAGCAAACGACAAGAAAGTGGACACTTATAACTCCAGGGTTGATCTGATCCCCGGGGCACCACCAATATTGAAGGGTTTAGATTCCAAAAAGTTCGTACCAAAGCCCTTCCCCCTCAGCGCAGCTCCCAAACCGATCTCCAAGAAGTTCTGCATGACCGAGATTCCTAAGTATAATGGAACGATCGACCCCAACGAGCATGTCACCTCTTACACGTATGCCATTAAAGGGAATGATCTAGAGGACGACGAGATCAAATCCGTATTACTAAAGAAATTCGGGGAAACCCTGTCAAAGGGAGCAATGATATGGTATCATAATTTACCACCTAACTCTATCGATTCTTTTGCCATGCTTGCAGATTCTTTTGTAAAAGCACACGCCGTAGCCATAAAGGTCGAGACTAGAAAGTCGGACCTTTTCAAGGTAAAGCAGGTAGATAACGAGATGCTTAGAGAGTTTGTATCTCGTTTCCAAATGGAACGAATGAATCTACCACCGGTCACGGACGATTGGGCCGTTCAAGCTTTCACCCAAGGACTAAATGAACGAAGTTCAGTGGCTTCACAACAGTTGAAGCAGAACTTGATTGAGTACCCGGCTGTTACCTGGGCCGATATACATAATCGATATCAATCGAAGATTAGAGTCGAAGACGACCAGCTGGGGGCTCCTTCTGGATCCGTTACCAAGAGTGACATCGATCGAGAATCGAGGTTGAACAGGGATCGATACCAGCCGTATAATAGAGATCGTAGGGGTAACAGACCTGGGGCCCATACGAGGTAAAAGGAGAAGTGATCGAGGCCAAGGCTCTCGAGGGCTGATAAGCAAGAATGGTTTCGACAGGCATAACGGACCTAAGGAAGCACCACGATTCTCGAAGTATAGCTTCAATGTTGATGCATCCGCTATCGTATCGGCTATCGGACATATCTAAGCTACTAAATGGTCTTGACCTCTACCAACCGATCCAGCCCAGAGAAATCCCAATCAAGTATGCAAGTATTATGGAACCCATGGCCACAGAATGGAAGATTGCAGGAAGTTGAGAGAAGAAGTAGCCCGGTTATTCAATGAAGGGCACCTTCGGGAGTTTTTAAGTGATTGGGCTAATAATCACTTCAAAAACAGAGAGTTCAATAGATAAAACGAGCAAGGAGACCTGCAACACATTATTCACATGATTATCGGGGGAATCAATGTTCCCCAAGGGCCAGTGTTAAAACGCACTAAGGTGTCAATCATAAGGGAGAAGCGATCTCGGGCTCAGGATTACATACCAAAATGAACCTTGTCCTTCAACGACGAGGACGCAGAAGGAATCATGCAGCCCCATAACGATGCACTGGTAATATCTGTACTCATGAATAAGACTCAAGTTAAGCGTGTGTTAATTGATCCAGGTAGTTCGGCCAATATCATTCGATCGAGGGTCGTAGAGCAACTCGGTTTACAGGACCAGGTTGTGCCCGCAGCCCTAGTACTAAACGGATTCAACATGGAATGTGAAACTACGAAGGGCGAGATTACTTTTCCAGTAAATGTGGCAGGGACCATCCAAGAAACGAAATTCCACGTGATCGAGGGTGACATGAGGTATAATGACCTGTTCGGGAGACCACGGATCCACAACATGAGAGCAGTACCCTCGACCCTTCACGAGGTTCTAACATTCCCAACACCAGAAGGAATAAAAACAATCTATAGGGAGCAACTCGTCGCAAAGGAAATGTTTGTCGTTGGCGAAGTGATTCCAATGTCATCACTCTCATCGACAAAGGGGTCAAATTCGAAGGGAAAACAGGAGACCAAATAGCAATCACAAACGCCGGCCTCGACCCTACTAGAGAAGCAAGAGTCTGACGAAGATGATGATTATGGGGTCCCTCGATCCTTCATAGTCCCTGATGATTCCGACGCTACCAAATCAACGGTCAAAGAACTGGAGCAAATCATACTAATCGAACATCTACCCGAACAAAAGGTATACCTGGGCACATGGTTAAATCCTAAGCTCAGGATAAAGCTTATTCAATTTCTTATAGCTAACATGGATTATTTCGCTTGGTCCCATCTTGACATGACATGGATCCCACCGGAAATCACCACCCATAGACTAAGCTTAGATCCGAAGTTCCATCCGGTGAAGCAAAAAAGAAGACTTCAGTCTGAGGTCAAACATGCTTTCGTCAAAGACGAGGTAACCAAGCTTCTTAAAATAGGGTCCATCCGTGAAGTAAAATGCCCCAAATGATTAGCAAACGTAGTAGTAGTCTCTAAAAAAGGAAACAAACTTAGAATATGTGTAGATTACAAGGATCTAAATAAAGCATGCCCCAAGTATTCTTTTCCTTCGCCTAATATTGATCGCATGATCGATGCAACGGCCGGCCACGAGATCCTCAGTTTTCTCGATGCCTATTCCGGGTACAATCAAATACAAATGAGCCCGGATGATCAAGAAAAGACCTCGTTCATCACTAAGTATGGTACCTACTGCTACAATGTAATACCATTTGTATTAAAAAAAATGCCGGTCCCACTTATCAACGCCTAATAAATCGGATGTTCGAAGAACAAATAAGGAAAT